TCTTCTCTTTTTGTGATACTACATCTTTCAGAGTGGCAACTGAACAAACAAAAAGAAAAATGCTGTCAAGCATTTCAAGTTGAAAGTAATATGTGTCAGACTTGAATCTTTGAATCACTTCTGAGTCTCGCCATGTGCAAATTGAATATATTAGTGATAAGGATTTAATTTGAGATTTGAGAAAACCCTCACTAAGAATTTTCCTGATCCTCTCTGTTCCTTTTATTTGGACTCCCAGTTGGGAATAGCAGTTCTACTAACAATTTTCACTTCATCTTAAAATTCAGATTGGCGTGTCCTTTCAACCTCCCGATTCCTTAGGATTTCAGCAACTATTTGTGGATGCTGAAACCAAGTTTTCCAAAGAGCCGCTGCATAGTTTTATCACCACTGAGATTCCCCAAGGTGAGTGTAACTTACGGAAACCTACTCAGTCTACGGAAAAGGAATCCAAAACACAAAACAAACGAACAAACAAACAACAACAAGCAAAAAAATACAACAAACAAACAAACGAACGAAAGAACAAACAAGCAAACAAACAAGAGAAAAAAACACGAAAGAATGAAAGAATGATCGAACGAGCGAACAAACAAACACCTAAACACCCGAAAGAAAAATCAACAAAACTAAAGAAAAATTAAAAATTAAATTACCCTAGGAAAAGCTTTTTACCAAAATTGGAGGACTTGAAAATCCACTTAAGCATATTTCAGCATCTCGGTATTTCCAATAAATTACAAAAAACACTGGAACATTCAACAGATGAAAAGCATTTTCTATCTCGTAGAAACATTTTTCTATTCCTGCTTGTCTAAAAATGATTTCAAGTGCTGAAGTGGTTGTGACACGCGTTTGCACTTGTATACGTGTATTAATTAACCAAATCTGTAAAAGATTCAATGAACATCGATCCATATTGCGAAAATATGTAGATCGTCAAGAAACCCGATCAACATTCAGCTTCACTTCAGATCTCACGCATGGATCGTCAGGAATACCAAGATTTCTTCACTACTGACCTCACGCAAGTTCAATTGCACGTATCTACTGCTATTAATCACCACAATAAAAAAATAATAATAATAATTCCAGATGTTTTCGTTATCAACTGCTTTTATTTGCAGGAATCTTTGCTGCAGCTCAAATCGTTTTGCCAAAAGACTGCAAAGGCAACAAATTCTGTGAAATTGTCAAGATGATTGTAGGGCCAACAGTCAAGTGGTACATTACGGGTCAATTTCAATGGAAGAAAATCCGAGTCGCCACAGGATTTGCTAATGTTCGTATTTTTGATGGGTTGTACTTTCACAAGCTTGAGCTCTATGTCGAGGTAAGCTGCTAGAAAGGCAATCGTTTGTTGTAAACCATTTCCTGTTTTCCTTGACTCTAAAAGTGATGTATGCACTTGGATAATTTATTTCCAACACATTTTTCCTTCTCTGTTTTATTTCGTTTAAGGAAAGTTACACGATGTTATTTGTGTTGTAAACTGGTCAATATTAAAAGGAACATTCTGATTGTTTCCGCAAAGATAGACCAAAAGGATGGGCCTTTCATCAGTAATTTTCGGCAACATTCCGCCCACGAAAACTGACAGTTTGGTGCTTAGTAGTTTCTCGGTATTCGAGGGGAAATTTTAGTTAAAGAAAGCGAGCTGTAAAAGTTTCAAAAATGCCCGTCACGGGGTAACTGAAATAAAACTGCCGCAGTATTATAACGTCTGAAAAGGGCAAAGACCAAAGTTCTAGCTGTTCTTCGTCCTGGGAAGTCGTAGAATATGTGGTTTCAGCATTTAGTTTTCACTTTCAGCTTCGGTGTGCACTGATATCAGTAAAAGGTGAGATCACTCAGATTTATAAATATGACTGATCTCACCTCTTACTGATATCTTGCTAAAATTTGTAGGTTGGTATCGATTTCCGGGCATGGGCTGAGGAAGTAAATAACTGTTAAGTATACTGTTTATTCTTTCTACTTCCTGACCAGGCTGATTGGAATGCGACGCATAAACATATCAAGATGGGATTCCGTGCAGATATCAAAGTCCCGGTAAATGGAGAAATTTATCGTGACGGCATCAGAGCTCCTAACAGCGAACTGTTCCTATTCGGTGTGTTAGAATACGATTTCACGGAACAGCAAGTCGCAGGAAAACTTGGCATGCGCGGAATTTGGCGGAAAGCTTACTTCATACCATTCCTTGGCATCGGGAACATTTACCTCGGGTAGGAGTTATAGTAACATGTTCTACTGAGCCCAATTGTCTAGCTAGACTGGCCCGATTGATCCGGTTCTAATGGAACAGTTATTTTTAATTTATGTACTTTCTCCACAAACACAAGATGCGAGGAAAGCGGCCAACTTGACGGCCGTTGGTCGGGCTGTTCAGCTTTCTTTGTGCTTTCAGAACTTTCAGAAGGCGACAGTGATAGGCATGAATATAACGATGAACCAGAGATCAAGTCGGGCAGTCTTACAGAGTGCACTAAACTGTATGCGGGAATGGAGGTCACTTCCGTTCCCTCTGCCAGAGCGCTCTGGATCCGCAGACGGAGGGACTGCTTGCAGTGCGAGCATTATGGAAAACCTATATGTAACCCAGGTTTATTCCGATATGGAACGATGATTAACAGGAAACCTACTCCATTTGCTTAAGCTATCATTCTTACTGTGAAGAAAAACATTCCTTTGTTAAATCAACGCCCTAGCTAGGATCTGTCAGAAACAGTTGCTTGACCAGATCTGTCAAAACAAAATAGCTTTCCCCCCAATAGAATATTTATACCTAATCGTACCTTTTTGGTACGCTGCGGCCGTATATCAGGCGGGATTAGTCGAGCCATGTTTCATATTTTGGCGAGACCAAACGAGCCTGATATGACGCCGAAGCGCACCAAAAAAAGGTACGATTAGGTATTTATCGGTATTTATTCGATCGGCCAAGTGAGCATCAGGTCAGTGACCTAATATCGCAGAATATCAGGACAGTAGATACAGCTTCTGACTGGCTAATTGCGAATTTGGGTGCGGTAAGGAAATATATCGATACCACCAATAAAGCAAAGCTAAAACGCTGATCTACGTTTCGATTTTACTTTAATCATCGTGAGATCTTATTGTTATCTTATAATTATTTTTGCATCGTTAGTATTTACGGTACGTTTAAAATTGCTGTGTCCCTAACTAATACCCTTTCTTAACTTCAGTTTGACGTATAAAGTTGGAGCGCCTATACCCATCACTGGTGTGCAGTTTGGAATGCGAATCGAATTTGGATATGACTGTCTAATACCAGCAGACTTTAATAATGACGTGAGTTTTAAATTTGTCACAGGTCTTGACGGCCTATGACTCTCGCATAAAGAATAAAATTCAATGGTGATTTCTTGCTATTATTTTGCCAGTCAATGATATGCAATTCGATATTGGCGTGCCTTTACTTTTCCTCTTAGAGAAAACATTCGTCGCGGCTAAGGGTGAGAATATCCGGGAGTTTCTAAGTTGTGCAATGCCTTTTCAGATCTCTTGATACAGATATCGATTGTAGCTTTCTTGTGACACATGAAACATGAGTAATTTACTGCTGTTGTTCTTTAGGGTCACTGTTTTGGTGGCAGTGGCTATTTTGGTGTTGGAAAGCCCCAGTTCTTCTACGCTGACATGACAGCATTGACCCTTGGAAAAATTTTTAGACTTCTGGGATTCAAATTCCCGCTTCCACCTCCAATAGCACAGACAGGCTTCCCAGAGGGCGCTGCGGTAAGTGTTGCGATTCGTGATTAGGGAAAAGCTTTAAATCTATGATATCCCCTTTTAATTTCCTCCAATACTTTTGACTAACTCCAAGCTTCTCTTGACCTTTTACAACAAACTGAACAAGATATCTCTTGGGCCGGAATCTCGGCTCTGATCGGGGGTTATCGAAGGAGACCTCTTGGAGAACAGAATTCGTTCGAGAACAATTTACGAACATGGGAAAAGTAAAGAAACTGTTGACCCTTAACAGCTTCATTTTCAGATTCTTGATTAAGATATCGAAGATATTAGCTTCTTACTACTCTGTAAACTCGAGATAAAATTAAGTCATGCATGTATAGTAAGCCACGTGCTCTGGCAATTCTGCCAGGCGCCAAACATACAAACTGTGGCTTGTCCAGGCTCAACTGGCGAATGATGTCCAGTTAGAAGCTTGCGTATGGAGAAGAGTCACGTAACAAAATCACCTGAGCTGTCTGTCGCTTTGTGTGCGGTGCGAACTTGTCCAAGTCGCTTTATCGTTAGTTTACGAACTTAAGCGAACTGAATATTTTTATTTTGTTGATCTCGTTAATTTGTTTTGTTAGTTTTCTTTACAGAATAAAAGTAGTAGTTCAATTTAATCAGAAGAATTTATCTTTATCGCAGGGCTCATACGCTACAGACAACGTTGATTTACGTATTGCTGGTGGCCCGTACATCTACAAGGGTTTCATGATCAAAGGACGAGTCAACATTTTGGGTTGGTCAATTTTCGCCCACGTCAAGTTGTCAGATGTGGTGAGGGGAATTAAAAGTTTGACTTCGATTTCATTTATCAAGAACTGTTCCAGGTTAATCGTAAGCCCTGTGCAAACAGGAAATGTTTGGCGAACAAACACGATCAAGCACTGTTTGGTGACCAAACATTTTGAGGTTTGGACACCTTGTTTGATCGTGTTTNTAATAATAATTTAAACTGAGACACGTCTTTTTCATCGAAAAAGGAATAAACTAGTAATTCCCAGCCACAGCGTTTCCTTTTCAGAGCTTGACAGCCAGTAGATTCCAGCTAAGCTCGCTCCTGGAAGCATTTGTTATTTTAATTTGTTAATGAGATGTTTACTCTTTCTCATGGGTAGGAACTTAACACACCCACTAGCTGATGAATTTCTTTACTCTTCTATATTAAGCTTGTATTTTGATTGTAACGAGAAATAGGTTTTTGGCCACTCTTGCAAAACTGAGAATTGAGTGACAAACTGATTCCATTCGCAGAGGAATAGGTCTCTGGGATTTTACCATGAAGCCTGCGCAACTTCTGCGGAAACTGGAGAAGAATGGCGTCTTCAGATTCACAGCCTCGATTGATGTTGGTGGTGTACCTATTCATGTCGAGATTTTGACAGGAATCAGATTTGCAAGAATTACTTTTGCTGTCGGTTTTGTGTTTGATCGGGAGTCATTTGGAAAAGTAGCGGAGAAACTGTCTGGCATCGGAGTCGATTTCCTGGACAAACTCGGACTAGAGTTAGAGGTATAAAATGGATATTTTTTTTGTTTGGTTGGGTTTTTTTGTGCTTTTTCATTACGTACGTTTCCTTTATAAAATAGCCACTGCCGCACCCCAAGGTTGGGGATAGGTGTTCACGGTGTGTTTTTTACGTAATTGCCGAAAGTGCCGACCTTCTGAAGAATGCATGGGAGCATGCATCTGTAAATTTGCATCTAACGATAGCTATCATAACATCATCTAGTCTAAATAGACTACAAAAGTGGTAGTAGAATAAAAGAATAAGGCAATCTTCTCTTTTTGTGATACTACATCTTTCAGAGTGGCAACTGAACAAACAAAAAGAAAAATGCTGTCAAGCATTTCAAGTTGAAAGTAATATGTGTCAGACTTGAATCTTTGAATCACTTCTGAGTCTCGCCATGTGCAAATTGAATATATTAGTGATAAGGATTTAATTTGAGATTTGAGAAAACCCTCACTAAGAATTTTCCTGATCCTCTCTGTTCCTTTTATTTGGACTCCCAGTTGGGAATAGCAGTTCTACTAACAATTTTCACTTCATCTTAAAATTCAGATTGGCGTGTCCTTTCAACCTCCCGATTCCTTAGGATTTCAGCAACTATTTGTGGATGCTGAAACCAAGTTTTCCAAAGAGCCGCTGCATAGTTTTATCACCACTGAGATTCCCCAAGGTGAGTGTAACTTACGGAAACCTACTCAGTCTACGGAAAAGGAATCCAAAACACAAAACAAACGAACAAACAAACAACAACAAGCAAAAAAATACAACAAACAAACAAACGAACGAAAGAACAAACAAGCAAACAAACAAGAGAAAAAAACACGAAAGAATGAAAGAATGATCGAACGAGCGAACAAACAAACACCTAAACACCCGAAAGAAAAATCAACAAAACTAAAGAAAAATTAAAAATTAAATTACCCTAGGAAAAGCTTTTTACCAAAATTGGAGGACTTGAAAATCCACTTAAGCATATTTCAGCATCTCGGTATTTCCAATAAATTACAAAAAACACTGGAACATTCAACAGATGAAAAGCATTTTCTATCTCGTAGAAACATTTTTCTATTCCTGCTTGTCTAAAAATGATTTCAAGTGCTGAAGTGGTTGTGACACGCGTTTGCACTTGTATACGTGTATTAATTAACCAAATCTGTAAAAGATTCAATGAACATCGATCCATATTGCGAAAATATGTAGATCGTCAAGAAACCCGATCAACATTCAGCTTCACTTCAGATCTCACGCATGGATCGTCAGGAATACCAAGATTTCTTCACTACTGACCTCACGCAAGTTCAATTGCACGTATCTACTGCTATTAATCACCACAATAAAAAAATAATAATAATAATTCCAGATGTTTTCGTTATCAACTGCTTTTATTTGCAGGAATCTTTGCTGCAGCTCAAATCGTTTTGCCAAAAGACTGCAAAGGCAACAAATTCTGTGAAATTGTCAAGATGATTGTAGGGCCAACAGTCAAGTGGTACATTACGGGTCAATTTCAATGGAAGAAAATCCGAGTCGCCACAGGATTTGCTAATGTTCGTATTTTTGATGGGTTGTACTTTCACAAGCTTGAGCTCTATGTCGAGGTAAGCTGCTAGAAAGGCAATCGTTTGTTGTAAACCATTTCCTGTTTTCCTTGACTCTAAAAGTGATGTATGCACTTGGATAATTTATTTCCAACACATTTTTCCTTCTCTGTTTTATTTCGTTTAAGGAAAGTTACACGATGTTATTTGTGTTGTAAACTGGTCAATATTAAAAGGAACATTCTGATTGTTTCCGCAAAGATAGACCAAAAGGATGGGCCTTTCATCAGTAATTTTCGGCAACATTCCGCCCACGAAAACTGACAGTTTGGTGCTTAGTAGTTTCTCGGTATTCGAGGGGAAATTTTAGTTAAAGAAAGCGAGCTGTAAAAGTTTCAAAAATGCCCGTCACGGGGTAACTGAAATAAAACTGCCGCAGTATTATAACGTCTGAAAAGGGCAAAGACCAAAGTTCTAGCTGTTCTTCGTCCTGGGAAGTCGTAGAATATGTGGTTTCAGCATTTAGTTTTCACTTTCAGCTTCGGTGTGCACTGATATCAGTAAAAGGTGAGATCACTCAGATTTATAAATATGACTGATCTCACCTCTTACTGATATCTTGCTAAAATTTGTAGGTTGGTATCGATTTCCGGGCATGGGCTGAGGAAGTAAATAACTGTTAAGTATACTGTTTATTCTTTCTACTTCCTGACCAGGCTGATTGGAATGCGACGCATAAACATATCAAGATGGGATTCCGTGCAGATATCAAAGTCCCGGTAAATGGAGAAATTTATCGTGACGGCATCAGAGCTCCTAACAGCGAACTGTTCCTATTCGGTGTGTTAGAATACGATTTCACGGAACAGCAAGTCGCAGGAAAACTTGGCATGCGCGGAATTTGGCGGAAAGCTTACTTCATACCATTCCTTGGCATCGGGAACATTTACCTCGGGTAGGAGTTATAGTAACATGTTCTACTGAGCCCAATTGTCTAGCTAGACTGGCCCGATTGATCCGGTTCTAATGGAACAGTTATTTTTAATTTATGTACTTTCTCCACAAACACAAGATGCGAGGAAAGCGGCCAACTTGACGGCCGTTGGTCGGGCTGTTCAGCTTTCTTTGTGCTTTCAGAACTTTCAGAAGGCGACAGTGATAGGCATGAATATAACGATGAACCAGAGATCAAGTCGGGCAGTCTTACAGAGTGCACTAAACTGTATGCGGGAATGGAGGTCACTTCCGTTCCCTCTGCCAGAGCGCTCTGGATCCGCAGACGGAGGGACTGCTTGCAGTGCGAGCATTATGGAAAACCTATATGTAACCCAGGTTTATTCCGATATGGAACGATGATTAACAGGAAACCTACTCCATTTGCTTAAGCTATCATTCTTACTGTGAAGAAAAACATTCCTTTGTTAAATCAACGCCCTAGCTAGGATCTGTCAGAAACAGTTGCTTGACCAGATCTGTCAAAACAAAATAGCTTTCCCCCCAATAGAATATTTATACCTAATCGTACCTTTTTGGTACGCTGCGGCCGTATATCAGGCGGGATTAGTCGAGCCATGTTTCATATTTTGGCGAGACCAAACGAGCCTGATATGACGCCGAAGCGCACCAAAAAAAGGTACGATTAGGTATTTATCGGTATTTATTCGATCGGCCAAGTGAGCATCAGGTCAGTGACCTAATATCGCAGAATATCAGGACAGTAGATACAGCTTCTGACTGGCTAATTGCGAATTTGGGTGCGGTAAGGAAATATATCGATACCACCAATAAAGCAAAGCTAAAACGCTGATCTACGTTTCGATTTTACTTTAATCATCGTGAGATCTTATTGTTATCTTATAATTATTTTTGCATCGTTAGTATTTACGGTACGTTTAAAATTGCTGTGTCCCTAACTAATACCCTTTCTTAACTTCAGTTTGACGTATAAAGTTGGAGCGCCTATACCCATCACTGGTGTGCAGTTTGGAATGCGAATCGAATTTGGATATGACTGTCTAATACCAGCAGACTTTAATAATGACGTGAGTTTTAAATTTGTCACAGGTCTTGACGGCCTATGACTCTCGCATAAAGAATAAAATTCAATGGTGATTTCTTGCTATTATTTTGCCAGTCAATGATATGCAATTCGATATTGGCGTGCCTTTACTTTTCCTCTTAGAGAAAACATTCGTCGCGGCTAAGGGTGAGAATATCCGGGAGTTTCTAAGTTGTGCAATGCCTTTTCAGATCTCTTGATACAGATATCGATTGTAGCTTTCTTGTGACACATGAAACATGAGTAATTTACTGCTGTTGTTCTTTAGGGTCACTGTTTTGGTGGCAGTGGCTATTTTGGTGTTGGAAAGCCCCAGTTCTTCTACGCTGACATGACAGCATTGACCCTTGGAAAAATTTTTAGACTTCTGGGATTCAAATTCCCGCTTCCACCTCCAATAGCACAGACAGGCTTCCCAGAGGGCGCTGCGGTAAGTGTTGCGATTCGTGATTAGGGAAAAGCTTTAAATCTATGATATCCCCTTTTAATTTCCTCCAATACTTTTGACTAACTCCAAGCTTCTCTTGACCTTTTACAACAAACTGAACAAGATATCTCTTGGGCCGGAATCTCGGCTCTGATCGGGGGTTATCGAAGGAGACCTCTTGGAGAACAGAATTCGTTCGAGAACAATTTACGAACATGGGAAAAGTAAAGAAACTGTTGACCCTTAACAGCTTCATTTTCAGATTCTTGATTAAGATATCGAAGATATTAGCTTCTTACTACTCTGTAAACTCGAGATAAAATTAAGTCATGCATGTATAGTAAGCCACGTGCTCTGGCAATTCTGCCAGGCGCCAAACATACAAACTGTGGCTTGTCCAGGCTCAACTGGCGAATGATGTCCAGTTAGAAGCTTGCGTATGGAGAAGAGTCACGTAACAAAATCACCTGAGCTGTCTGTCGCTTTGTGTGCGGTGCGAACTTGTCCAAGTCGCTTTATCGTTAGTTTACGAACTTAAGCGAACTGAATATTTTTATTTTGTTGATCTCGTTAATTTGTTTTGTTAGTTTTCTTTACAGAATAAAAGTAGTAGTTCAATTTAATCAGAAGAATTTATCTTTATCGCAGGGCTCATACGCTACAGACAACGTTGATTTACGTATTGCTGGTGGCCCGTACATCTACAAGGGTTTCATGATCAAAGGACGAGTCAACATTTTGGGTTGGTCAATTTTCGCCCACGTCAAGTTGTCAGATGTGGTGAGGGGAATTAAAAGTTTGACTTCGATTTCATTTATCAAGAACTGTTCCAGGTTAATCGTAAGCCCTGTGCAAACAGGAAATGTTTGGCGAACAAACACGATCAAGTACTGTTTGGTGACCAAACATTTTGAGGTTTGGACACCTTGTTTGATCGTGTTTGATCATGGTTAATTTCCGTGTTTGTTCAAACACTGTAAAAACATTTTGTTCATTTGGACGGTGATCAAACATTTTTGATATCTTTTGCAACTCTGTACAACATCGACATGGATCAATGATAAGCAGAAACCTTCACAGCTTATGCATTCGTAAGTTTCATTTATTAATTTCTCGAATCAACGTGGAACATTTCTTGGAAGCTTTCAGTCAAAAATTTTAATCATAAGATAGCGAACTTGAGATGTTTGATATAATTTTGCCTTCATGTGGCGCCGTAATTCGCAGACTAAACAAGAATTATTTGGATGCTTGACATACCACATAGGTCTGATTCGGCTATGACGTTGATTCTTTTCCAGTCGAGATACTGGCTGACGCACATTAACACACACGCAATGCACATGAAGCTGACGTCCAAAAGTACTTCAGGACTTCAGTAATCAGATCTTGGCTGCAAGGCTGGCTTTATTGACTTTTGTGTTTTTATTATTTACCTGCACAATATAAAACCGCGGTTTTTGAGAACAATTGACTAGCAGTCAGCTGCTGAAAGGGAAGCAGGGGCGCGCGGCTTAATTTCTTGAGAATTACTTTGTCATTGAATGGAAAATCTTTTGCAGGCAATATTCGTGGACTTGAAACCAGATCCAATAAAACTTCTGAACATTTTAAAAATCGTGCGCAGCCCTAGCCAGCAAGATTTGGGTCCTTGGTTCTACGTTGATGCTAGAAAGACTCCCATCTTCATCGAAGTAAGTATGTATAAAAATTACAGTAAGTCTCAGTAATGCCGTGAAGTCTGTCTTCAGAGTCCATAGTCTTCCAATAAGGCAGAACCAATAAATTCGAAGACATTTCCTAAGTTTAAATGGCCAGATTTGAGCAAGAAAATCCAAGGAAGCTTGCTTTTTTTGACATATGTTATATTTTGCCAAGGAATTCGAAGGCTATCTACGTGGTTTCTCTGAGAGGAAAGGGACTAGTAACCTTACCCATTCTATATCTTAACAGTCATCATTTTATACACCCATTCCTAGATTAAGGTGTTGAAATCGTCACCCTACGAGTACTTTTAAGTACCGGGTTTAAAACTCCTTCTGGCTCAAGGGAACAAACAGTGGACCTCGAACAATGTAAGAGTTCCTCAGAGAGCAGGGGAAGCTACATGAAAATTGGTATGAATACATGACGACATAATAAGATAAAATAAATGAGATGTATCATTAAGTCTTTGCCACCTAAAAACGTGCGCTCTTCTGTATAGCACTCACTTGTCAATACAACTATTCCTAGTGTGTAACGGGATATTTTCGTCATAGGCATACATCGAAGGGTACACGGAGCTTCTTGGGATTTCAACTTATTGCCGGTTGAACTTGACAATGGAAAGGATGGAGTTGCTGATCCGAGGGAATTTCCTGGGCCTCATAAAGGCTGAGTTGTTTGTGTCTGCAAGTTATAGCTTGAGTTTCGTTGGCGCTCAGTTTTACGTCAGGGTTACAGTGGACTTGAGTGGAATAAACAATGTAAGAAAGATAATACAACGTGCATACTATCTAGTTACTAAAGAATGTATGTTACTTTGTATTCTACTGTGCGTGAATTACGTTGATTCGAAAAGCGTTTCCTAATAAAAGTTCATTAAGGAAAAATACCAGAAGGTAATAGCTCCGCATCGGAAGACCACTGACTGAAAAATATCACTAGCCAATAGACCATTTGCAGTTGTCTTCTCAGTGACCTGGCCTTTGAATGGCAGCGAGGCTGGAGGAGGCCTTGTTTTGATACAGACATCACTGCTTTTGTTGTGTAAATCAAATTGTTCTAATACTACGTGCATTTACATGGCAAATGCAAAGAGGTCTGTTTCAAAGCAAGGTCACCTCCAGCCTCGCTGCCATGCAAAGGCCAGGTCACCGAGCAGACAACTGTAAAATTATCTATTGTAAGTACACCTTCAAGAAATCATCTTACGTTGTGTCGGTTTTTGCTTTTGTATTCTTTATTTTATAAGTGAAGCCGATTAGATCACTAGTGATCCAACGTTTACCAGCAGGATCATCGTTCCGGTTGCTTGCTTAAACACTTTATTGTAAGAAAGTACGACGACTAGGTAAAAATGTGTTCATGTAAATGGTTGGTTGAAAATTTAAATTCTCTTAATATTCGATATATCAGAAACTGATATTTCAATAGTTATAATAATAGTGTAATACTTTGTTTGAAATCTATACCCATAGATTTCCTGAGCTCGATGAATTAGGAAAACCACAGTGGCAATAAACTAAAACTGAGAAATCAGGATAAATGTAGTTAATATGAGGCATCCTTAATGAAGCTCGTGTTTTAAAAATTAGGTTTTCTAGGCCAAAGTAATTCAAACCTGTCATAATATAACGGGTGACAAATTACTCGTTAATTTTGATGCGAAATTGCAGCGTTAATTTATAGTTTCACATGTGACAGTGAAATTACAAAATTGTCATGGCAAGGTTTGGCGCGAAATTTCTCGATACAATAAACATGTCAAAAACCCACGATTGTAAGTGTAATTTGTCAGCCATGATATTAAAAGGTAATCAAATAGTATACTCGTGAAATCAACAAATAATTTCACTCGTGTTTTGTCAAACTACTGATAATTTCCCTCGCCTAAAGGCTCTGGAAATTACTGGAATTTCGTCAAACGCCGTAAAATTATTTCCTAATTTCACTCGTTACCATTTGATTACCAATACAAATTGCATCTTTTCCTATTTTTTCCAACTACTCTTTTCCAGGCTCTAGACGCCGCTGCCAAAGCCGTCAAAGGGGCTTTTGATGAGGCGCAGAGGAGGCTTTCAGATGCACGAAATGCCGTAATCAGAGAAAAGGAAAACTGCAAAAGGAAGATGGCACTCAAATGTGATAACTGTAAAAAGCTCAAGTGCGCTCAAGCGGAGCGTAATTGTAAAGGATTTTTGGATGCCGCTGGCAAGTGGATTGGTGGCGTGGTCAATGCTGCTGGTAAGTCAAAGTTGGTCTGTACTATTAAAATTGTATTTACTTTTATCTCTTTCTCCCGACAGAAGGTGACGTTTAAAGTTTATCACAGTTAGATAATAAAACCGTTTGCAAATTGTTCCTGTCTCAGTCTGACCAAATTATGTTCTCCTTCCAGGAAAATGGATCAAAAAGACTTTTAAGAAGATTGGGAAAGCTTTAGCTCCGGTAAGCGGTCATGGCGTAATTTTACAAATCACGCACCACATATATGAATAAATTGCATTAAGGCTGTTGCCATTGTCAAGGTGGTTGCCACGAAAAAATTAATCAGTTAATCGTTGTATGCTTAAACGACAAATCTCTTTTTCCTGAAACTTTCGATACTGATAACAGGGGTGCAATATGTGAAGACGAAATTAAACTTCAAATATGTAATAACCTATGTGTCCTTAACAGGTTGGAAAAGCGATCAAGAAATTTTTTAAGGGTTGGAGAAAGAGAAGAGAACTACAAGACATGCGCAATGAGGACTTTGCCCTTCACATACGTAAACGTCGATTTATCAGCAAACTTATATGCGAAGGTCTTGTGGGAGGAGGCTGCAAAGGTCAGTATATAAGTTAGGATGATTTGCGTCACACCCATCATACGGCATAAACCGAATCGGCATTATCACATAGCGCCCCCGCGCGCGCTAGTCCTATTTAATTCGTATAAGAGAATCTTTGTTTACAATATTTGCCTCATTACCATAAGCGATACAGTTTCTGGTGGAGCTACAGAGAGATTAATACTGAATATTTAAAGGGCACAGCACGATTAACTGTCCCAAGGAATTTGAGTGCGATGTAATGAATACTTTTGCGCGACGAGGGTTTAAAAGCTCAACATTTTACAAAGAATGTATGAGCTCATTAGCGCTTTTGCCACACAGAAATTTTGATGTTTTTGAAAGCCAATTTGTCATCGAATATTACACCCAAAGAGCCAAAAATTTCACCACTTACTAGATTTCACAAGCTCTAAGTTTTTTTAGTAAAATCGTGTCTAGCATGATGCCTTCTTTGCGCAAAGTCGTATGTTAATGAGGAAAAATGTAAACAATGACGTCAGCAAAGATTCGCCTATTGAGCCATCATGAACGAAATCTCTATGTAAGCACGGCCGTGCCTATGTAAGATGACGTGTGCAGTTTCAATTTAGCTACAAAATTTGCGTCGAGTTTAGTACAAGTTCCTTTTGTTTAAGTTTCGGCAATGTGAAGATTTTTCTGAACGATCCAAACTCTACTTCGAACCTTTGACTTTTGCCAAGCTAAGACGTTTACCTTAACTTGAGTATTTTGACTTTGTTTGTCTACATTTTCATTGTGTATTTTGACTTTGTTTGCCTAGATTTTCATTATAATTAATTCAAAGAAGCTAATTCTTCACTGACAATTTTAGAAACCAGGTTAAGCGTTTTCGTTCAACCGTTGCTCAATTGATTATAGCGTGTTAGGATCCTAATGACCTTTGTTTTCCTTCACCGCGCACTGTGAGAACTTCTTAGTCAATCACAAATTAAACATATTTTAGCGCCGAAGTTGTTGTCGCCATGCTATAAAAGAATTGGTTCATGCTTTTAGCTGTGCGTATATCGAGTTATGGATGCACTTGGAAAGTTTGGAGAGCACTAAAGAAGAGTTGCTTTCGGCTATCGCCTCAAGCAACTCTTACGCTTCTTTTGTGCTCTCCAAACTTCCCGCGTGCATCATATCCATAACTCGATATATGCACGTTAAACATAGCCCATTGCAAAAACGTGAGAGGACTGGGAAAGAGTATGGTTGTTTTCCGTTTGTTTGAAAAAAATAAGATATTCAAATGAAAGACCAACTAAATTTGAGTCTTATTTAAGAAAGAATAGAAGTATTTAGAGGAGAAAAATGGCAAAATGATAGCTCTTCAAATATCACCTAAAACAGAAATTTTGTGTTTTAAATAAAGGATTTTACTTTACTTTACTTTACTTATGGTTGGGTAGACAGGCCACAAAATTTTAAGGGTTTGTATGGAATTTTGCAACTTTTTCAAGGCTCTCATGTGAACAATTGATCGCTGAAAACTCTCAAACTTGACTGGGTAGCTTTTCATTTAGTAAACTTTTGATTTCAGTTGAAATGTTTAGATTTCTAATCAATATAAGAAACTCGTCCCAGTCCTCTTACGCTTTTGTAATGGGCTACGAACCATTTCTTTATTTTTTTTGTTAAAAAATGGCCCTGTAACCAGGTGGTTGATTCATGATTGAAAAACGTTACTCTGGTTTAAAANTAAACCAGCACCTCATGCTTACCGTCATTGGCATGTCTCGTAAAAGTATCTTAATTTTCTTTAATATTTATCGGACAAAACTACTCTGTGATTATATCCAGCTCGTGAAAAAGTCAAGTACGTAGTAGGTCAGTGCATCTCACTCGTATTAAAATTTTAAAGTACTTCTGTTGCAGCTAGAAATTCTTGGGCGCTTTCCATTCGACCAATTGAATTGCATTTCCGGAAATTTACAATGGCGACTGGAACAGCATTTCCCGGAATACACTTCTCGAGCTGTATCGACATTCTCGGAAATTTCTTACCATTAATTTCTGTTCCATTTGATTTTCCTCCCGAAAGTTGCAGAGTTTTCGGTTGAATGAATCGTTTTCGGAAATTCAACAATTTTCAGATTTAATTTCTGAAAACTTTTCCAAGCAACTGCTTCTTACCATTTGTCCCCGTTTCGAAATTTTCGGAAGTTTTGGCATGAATGGAAAGCGCCCCTTTTTTTTCGATTGCTTTGATGGTAGTTGGAAAGTTTGTGAACATGTTATTAAGTTTTCGTTTAAAAATCCGAGCTGCATAGACAAATCTCTTTTTCTTTTATCTTATGTTCTAGCTGTTTGCAAACCTGGTTACTACTCTACTAATAATGGAATATCACCATGCGTGGAATGCCCAATGGGAACATATCAGAATAATGACCAGCAAACCCAATGTTTCGCATGCCCGGCTGGGACAAATACAGCGAGCACCGGAAGTACGTCACTGGAGGACTGTTTGTGTAAGTAACTCCTCAATTCGATTCGTTTCAACAGTTTTGGAAAATAGATAAATAGCCATTACAATATCTAGAGAGGAAGCCACAGCAGCCTTAGATGGTTTTCACGCGGGTCCTCTATCCTGGTCGAATTGATATTTGGAGATGTTGGTTTTAGTGGAGGGAGGACAANGACTGGAACAGCATTTCCCGGAATACACTTTTCGAGTTGTATCGACATTTTCGGAAATTTCTTACCATTAATTTCTGTTCCATTTGATTTTCCTCCCGAAAGTTACAGATTTTTCGGTTGAATGAATCGTTTACGGAAATTCAACAATTTTCGGATTTAATTTCTGAAAACTTTTCCAAGCAACTGTTTCTTACCATTTGTCCCCGTTTCGAAATTTTCGGACGTTTTGGCATGAATGGAAAGCGCCCCTTTTTTTCGATTGCTTTGATGGCAGTTGGAAAGTTTGTGAACATGTTATTAAGTTTTCATTTAAAAATCCGAGTTACATAGACAAATCTCTTTTTCTTTTATCGTATGTTCTAGCTGTTTGCAAACCTGGTTACTACTCTACTAATAATGGAATATCACCATGCGTGGAATGCCCAATGGGAACATATCAGAATAATGACCAGCAAACCCAATGTTTCGCATGCCCGGCTGGGACAAATACAGCGAGCACCGGAAGTACGTCACTGGAGGACTGTTTGTGTAAGTAACTCCTCAATTCGATTCGTTTCAACAGTTTTGGAAAATAGATAAATAGCCATTACAATATCTAGAGAGGAAGCCACAGCAGCCTTAGATGGTTTTCACGCGGGTCCTCTATCCTGGTCGAATTGATATTTGGAGATGTTGGTTTTAGTGGAGGGAGGACAACCCAGAACCTGGAGAAATACCCTCGAAGCAAGGCGAGAACCAACAACCAACACATGCAACCCACATATGGCACCGAGTCGGAATCTATCCCGGGCCACATTGGTGGGGTGAGCGCTCTCCCCACTGGGCAATCCCTGCTCCCCCTTGTTCAAAGAATGCTAAACGTTATTGAGACTGTGCCGTCTAGTTTATTGATATTATACTGAGAAAGGCTGCTAAATCTTATCCACCAGCCCCAGTTCGCATCACAGAGACTATTCCAACCTCAGATTATTCAACGTACGAGAATGAAACCATTTCGCTTGCTTGCTATATTGCGGGGGATCCCACACCAACTGTAGCGTGGACAAAAGTTGGAGGTAAGAGAGTTATTGGTCCGGCTCCACATAAAAAATAGATGAATTCATCTTTTTACCACTTTATCTCCGATAATTTACGAAAGACATGGATTTTGGTTAAACTAATGTAATGTAACCAGGTAATGTAACGCATTGCCATAGCGGCAAGTTTAAGTTAAACACTCTGCCCATTTTAGTTTTGACGATGTCCTGTACCAATTACGCTATCCGTATATAAGCAAAAACTTATCTTGGGTATTTAATTAAGTCTGTCCTTTGACTGGCGAGAGACAGGGATCTCTGTGACCTATTCTGTGAGTACTCTACATAATTTTTCTGGAAAACGGACTGTAAAACTTGTAATTGTAACAGAGGACTTACCCTCGGGATCAATAACGAGTTCCAGTTGTAAAATCCAGACGTGTACTGCAACAAAGATATGGTGAAATTTGAGCATTTCCCCCAAATTATTTCGTTTAAGAAAAAGAAATCCGCCTGCTGTCTTTGCTGACATCTCATTTCGCAAACATTTTAACTACTATAAAATCTAATGATCGTGGTTTATTTCACAAACTTACCGGCTCTATTGCTCCTGACAGGCTCGCTTCCTTCCACTGACCGCCTCACCATAAAGAATGTGTATGACCTGGACTCCAAGTTGACTGGCGTGGAATTAACTCTTTCTGGTGCTGTTGTCGCTGACTCTGGTAATTACGAGTGCACAGCTTCTAATAAACATAGCTCGGTTACCAAGCAGGTCAGGATTGATGTCCAGGCTGGGTCACCTCCCGGTGTAGTCCCTGAATAGGTAAGAAGCGTCATGGAGCACTCAGTCTGCAGGAATACTCCATGCTTGTAGCGACCAGGGAAGAGCTGTTCAAAGACTGGATAACACTATCCACTGTACAAATTGCTTTAAAACAAAGTATACTTTCCATTGAATAGTTATTTATCTGATGAATAGCATTACATACCCTTGAACAACTGGAGCAAGGCGTCACTCTCGATGACACTGCTTGTTGTGTTGGTCTGTGCTTGATCATGGTTTTGATGTTAAAAAGTATTGATATTCGGGGTGCACATGTATTGTTTGCTAACTTGCTGAATAGCTTAGAATTTAGATGACAAGGTTGGCAATACGTCGAATCTTTCTTTCGAGAGTGTGTATAAGTGTGTGTTGGCGTTATGGAGGGGTGGTG